GGGATTCGGGGGCATACAGCTCTGTGGGTGGATGCAGGGTTCGCCGCCTTGGGCAAATGCAGCCCATCCGATTGTTCTGCACCCCACCAAAAGGCAATTCCTCCAATTATATGGTTCCATTTTGGGAGCTCGTATTGAGAAAAACTGCAAAAGTTCAGAGAATTGCACCAGTGCTGAAAGCTTACACCCTAAACCGTCGACATTCCATGCCTCTAGGTGATGCTCCTTTGTGCCTTGCTGGTGCTCCCATTGCCGTGGGCCCTGCTAGCGCAGCTACGATGGAGGCAGCACGGCTTTGAATGGGAATTCGGGCATTGGGGAGCGCAGGGTTTCGGGTTGGGTTGCAGGGCAAACTGGCCTTAGTTGAGGGTTGGCAAGGGTGTTCAGGACTTTCGAACTTTGTGTTTCATGGCTGGATTGGTAGGTTAAGGAACCGCTTGGTGAGGCATGCATGGTAGATGTCCCCAAACCGTAAACTCTACACTTGAGGCAGGAAACCACTTGTAAAAACCAGTTTGGGGTTTTGGGGTTGAGGGGGAGGGGTTTAGGGTTTAGGGTCTAGGGTCTAGGGTTTAGGGTTTAGGATTTAGGGTTTAGGGTTCCGTTGTTTGAGGCTGTGCTGGCTTGCCCCAGGAGAGGCGCTATTGCTCCTTGGACAAATGGTCTTTAATATAGGGGTCGGAACAATTACGAAGGGTAGTATTCCCTTCTGGTATTAAGGCCCCTATATTACATACTTTGGGTTTGCCTTGGTAGGCCCTACAAACCCTGTAACCCAACCCTGGAAATTGCATAGACCCAACTTGGTAAACCCTAAACCCTAAACCCTAAACCCGAAACCCTAAACCCTAGACTGTGTAAGGAAACCGAGAACCAACAAGAAGGGTTAAACGGCTACCACTGGGCTTGTGGGGTTAGGTTTGTGGCTTAGAGCGCACGTAGCTCTTAGGGTTTAGTAGCTTTGAGCAGCCCTCAACCCTGAATCGGGGATGATCCGAGGCTCATCATCTACCCAAAAAAGCACTCATAGCTTACCCCTCAGGGTCCATGTACCTAAATAGGGAATACTTGGGCCTTAAAGTACTTCCTATACAGGGACTTTGGGGCCTAAGTATATAGTAATGGTTTACATGGACTTTTAGGGTACCAGGGCATAGATATTTGGGTCTGGGGTTTAGGGTTTGGGGTTCTGCCGCTAGGGTTGAGGGCTTGGGACAAAACTTGGCAAGAGCATCGCTGAGCCCTACAGCCCATCCTAAAGCCCTCGCACCGTGCTCTTTGCCTTGGGGTGCCCTAGACCCTAAACCGAAGCAAAGACCCTTAACCCTAAACCCGAAACCCTGAAACCCTAAACCCCTAAACCCTAAACCTAAACCGTGAACCTCGGGGCTCAAAATGCCCCCCCCCCCCCCCCCCCCCCCCCCCCCCCCCCAGAAGCCGTCCTTGGAGCCTTGGGGGAAGGGCTTAAAACATCGAATCCCCAACATCGCCTGCGGGGGTCCCTTGCGAGTGCCTCCCCGTCGTAGTGCTCTCATTTGGGTATGGGGTTGAGGGTTGAGGGTTTCGGGTAGACTCTTCTACACCCTTTGCCGAGGCAATATGCTATACGTCACGAGCGCAAGGACTCGCCAAGAGTGTTTTCGGTGGAGGGGATGCCCTCCACAAGTTGAGGGTTCAATCTGAGTTTGTCTTATCAACTTACCCTAAACCCCAAACCCTTTATGTGCTTCTGCACGCACATTTGGTGATTGGCGCGCGGGGGTGGGGAGGTTGGGGCGTTGTGGGCCACGCCCAAAACTTACTACCTGAAACCTTTTCGGCCCAGAAGCTTCCCGCAACCCTGCACACACCGGTAGCCTTGTACCGGACAGTGTACGTATCTTTTCTTGCTTGTTCGAATTTTACAAAGAGCCCAAGAGGAGTAATTACACACTTTTTTTCTCCTGGGTTTACTTCAAAGCCCAGTCTAGACCGCACACCCTCATTTCCGAAGCCCTAAACCCCCAAGCGTGCCCTTATCATGACATATCTGAAGAAAGTCGAAGACAGACCCGACCTTAAACCCTAATTCCTAAACCCTAAACACCCAAACCCCCAAACCCCCAAACCCCTAAACCCAAAAACCCCTAAACCCTAAGGCCCTAAACCCCTAAACCCTAAACCACTATAAACCTCTAAACCCCAAACAAACCCTAAACCCTAAGCCCCTAAACCCCCTAAACCCTAACCCCCTTATGAAGCCCAAAAACCTCTGAACCCCTAAACCCTAAGCCCAAAACCCTAAACCCTAAACCCTAAACCCTAAACCCTAAACCCTAAACCCTAAACCCTAAACCCTAAACCCTAAACCCTGAACCCTGAACCCTGAACCCTGAACCCTGAACCCTGAACCCTGAACCCTAGCCCTAAACCCTAAACCCCTAAACGGCCCTAAGCCCTAAGTCCCTCAGAATGTCTGCTAGGATGTTGCGGAGAGCTGGGGCGGCCGCAACCTTCTTCAAGGGCCCATCACCGTGCAGGTCGAGCTTTGCTTCATATCGCTTCCCCCCTAAGGGTTCAAGAAGTTTAGGGTTTAGGGTTTGGGGTTTAGGGTTTGGGGTTTAGGGATTAGGGTCCCTTCTTGGGGTACCCTAAATAAGAGGGGCCGCCTTATCATGAAGACATATCTTAGGGACCATGTCGCTTCCCCTAAGGGTCCATGGGGTTTAGGGTTCGGGGTTAAGGGTTTAGGGTCCATGGGGTTTAGGGTTTGGGGTTTAGGGTTTAGGGTCGATGGGGTTTAGGGTTTGGGGTTAGGGTTTGGGGTTTGGGGTTCAGGGTTAGGGTTTAGGGGTTGGGGTTTAGTCTTTGGGGTTTGGGGTGTACCTCAATAGTATATACTTGGGCCTCAGAGTCCCTTATACAAGAAGGAAGTAGGGGTTCAGGGTCTCTGGTTCCTCTCTGAGGTGCCTGTTCGAATGCGGGCCTGATAGGCGGCTCCATATCCGTAGTCTAGAAAAACCCGTACGCAAAGCACAGGGCCCCCGCACAGAGCCCTCTTTGCTGCACCTCTTTGCAAGTTCAGAAAGGACTCCAGCCTTGCCTATAAACCCTATAACCCTCAGGGTCCATGTACCTAAATAGGGAATACATGGACCTTAATGTCCTTCCTATATAAGGACTTTGGGTAATCAAGGGACTTAAGCGAGGGACCCTTTTCACGGGACTTTGGGGGTCATTCTGGGGTTATTAGGGGCCGCTTCGTGGCTTGACTAAGATCAGGGGAGCTGTTGCCAAATGCCTTGGACGCCTGGCTCCGAACAAAGGCACAGCAAGCATCTTTCCGGTATCACAAGCATTTGCGAGCCAGCTACATCGTCAAGATTGCCCACGGAGTCTCTGAAGCTGACGCCAACCGGCAGGTCACGGAGGATGTCGAAAAATGCAAACAAGCTTAGGAAGGGAACAAGATTAAAGGTCCTTTCTACGGGTCCCTCCTTATACCCAACCTTAGCTAAACCCTAAACCCTGCACGTAAACGCCAAACCCCAACAATAAGGTCCATGGACCCTTCAGTTAAACCCCAACACCCCAAGGCCTAACAGCCACACCTCCAGGTGGCGTCGATGTCCGGAGAGGTCAAGCAGGCCGCCCCTTTAGGGTTTAGGGTTCGAGGTTTAGGGTTTAGGGTGCAGGGTTTAAGGGAAGAGGATTTCTCCAACCTATCAACCCTCCCCCCAAAGTTTGGGTAAGCTCCCGGAAGAAAGGGCTTAGGTGTGTTGAGTCTCAAGGGTTTTCCCTAAACTCCCGTGAACCCTCAACCCCCAAACTGGTGCTAACACTTCTGTACGGCAAAACCCTGAACTCCAAACCCCTTGAACCCTAGACTTTCCCCCCCCACCTGCCACCCCTAGTCCCCAGAAAGCAGAGACTTAAACCCTACGTAAACCCTGAACCCGTAAAACCCCTAAAAACCCTATCTTGACTTGCCTGGCCCGAGCCCTTCAACCACCGAACTGGAGGGTTCAGGAACGGTTCAGGTGTGCATGTGCTCTGCCCAAATTATTGCGACGGAAACGACGGAAAAATTGAAATTAATAAAATTAGCGACGCAACGACGGAAAAATAAATAGCAGGAAATAAGCCTGACAAGCACATACCCTGAACCCTAAACCTCAAAGCGTCCTTGGAGGGGGGTGTTGGTGGGGTGATTACCAACTACTTCGATTGGTTGAGGTTTGGGGGCACCCCCCCCACCCATCCCGCCCCTCCTGGCCAGGGCCCATTGCTTGGGGGCTGCCCCCCCACCCACCCCACTTTCCTGGCCGGGAACCCAGGGTTTGGGTCAGGGGTTGCTGGTATAGTCTGGGTAGAGGGGGGTGAACCGAATGAATTAGCAGCTAATTCGTTTGGTTTAATTTTACTGGTTCCAGCAACGAACCATGGAGGGGAGGAACCCTAAAACCAGAAACCCTAAAGCCTTAAACCCTAAACCTGATACCTTTCACCCTTAAGCATGAATCCCTGACCCTTTTCCTGCCCATTCGGCTGCTCGACGACCTGCACTTCGTCTTCATCGAGAGCGATGACGTCTTCATCGAGAGCGATGAGGCACCTTTGGGTGCAGACCCTCCACCAAAATCCTAAGCCCCCCCCAAACCCTACACTCAGCCCTAAACCGTAAAACCGCTGTGTGACCCCCAGCCCTAAGCCACTGGCCACTGGCGGAAGCCCAAAACCCTGTACTTGAGTATACTGGGAGGGGAGAGCCCTGACCCTTAAACCCTTTTTAACCCCGCGAGTGTGTGGAAACGGCTGGTTCCTTGTGGGCTGAGACGCCCGGCTCACCAGCACCGCCGAGCTTAAAAAGGGTTTCAGGCATGAGGCGCTCGCTGTCACTCAGACTATTATTGACAATTATATCTTAACTTTTGGACACCAGCTATACAGGCTGTATCACAGTGATACAGACCTTCTAGCAGTGAAGTGTAGGTCAGACCTGCCCAAAGAGCCATGGGTCAATGGGTAGGAGCAAAGCCAAAGGCAATGTGCAGCGTGTGGAGGTGCTGATTGTTGGCAAGACCACCACGACTCAGAAGTATCATGTGGATGGTGGTGGCACATTCGCTGAGTGCTTCAGTGACTTTGCACGGCGCTTGCATTACGCGGACCAGAAGCTGATCAGCTTTTTTTGCGATGGCAGAATGGTGACGGCAAGCACACCGGTGGCTGAGCTTTGTGGTGGAAGGAAAGGTGTGCTTATGATCATCCAGGCCTTGCTGCCAGAAGAGAGTGCGGCCATAGAAGCTTGCAGGAAGTTGCGCGCAGCAACGTTGATTGAGGGTCCCGTGCCACCAATCCTCAAAGCCACGTTCCTGGAGTGCCTTGGTCATGAGCCAGTGGGAGGGGTGGGGCGGGGTCGGGAGGGGTAGGGGGTCGCATGGGGAAGGGGGGGGGGAGGGAGGGTCGGGAGGGGAGGCAGGGGGGTAGTGAGGGGAGTAGGGCCGAGTCCAAGTCACGTAAGGGGCTGTAGGCGCGCAAACGAAAATAGCGGCTAATTTGCGCGAATTCACTTTGTAGGGGGGGGGGGGCGGAGGGCCAGGGGGGGGGCCAGGGGGGGCAGGGGAGGGGGCCAGGCGGGGCAGCGCGGGCCGGGCTGGGGGGGGCCATTGCAAGGGGGCGAATTGGTGCGCAAACAAATTAGCGGCTAATTCGCGCGAATTCACTTTCTAGGGGAGGGGGGGGGGGCCAGGGGGGGCAGGGGGGGGGCCAGGGCGGGCCGGACTGGGGGAGGGCCATTGACTTTGAGGGGGGGGGGGTGGACGGGGGGTTCGGACGAATTAGCGGCTAATTCGTTTGCGGCTGTGTGCAGCTATGTTGGTTGGGCCATGTGCTTCAATGTAATGAGGCAGTGTGCGTTATATGGGCCAATTCCTCTGTAGCGATACGGGCAAGGCGTTGACTTCAGAGGCGAAGGTTCGCGTTTCGAATCCCCTTCACCAAAACGCGAATTAGCTGCTAATTCGCTCGTGCGAATCCTGACCCGCTCACGTAACTCCCCGCGTGCTTGAACATTATTATAGAACTTTATCAAGGGTCAGAAGCCTTCTCTAGCTTCCGATCTCTCAGGTTGTGCGGGCAGTGCAACTTGGCTTTGCCTGCCGAAGAGTTTTGGACTATGGTGGCTGGCTCGGAAGAGGTTGAAAGCTTGGACGAGTCTGCATGGGAGAGAATCATGCAGGACTTCCTGGAATGTACCACTGAGAGCTACCTTTTCGAGGAGCCAGAAGCAACATCGGCCACACTGAAGAAGCTAACGCCAGGCATGGTGGTGCAAATCGTTCAGCGGGAAGGCTTCCCAGACGAGCGCGGCTTCTGCTACGTGAACGCAGCTGACCAGCTAGGGTACGTGCGTGTCCACACATGTACCATGCGTCTGTTCGTGGAGTGCTTCCCCGCTCTGAACATCTCGGCAGCAGAAGAGTATGGCTCGGGCTTGACGTGCGAAGAAGCACTTCGGCTCATTACAGAGGAGGACAAAAGGATCGACGAAGCTTATGGCATCGAGAATGCATCCGATGAAGAGCAAGCAGGCGAGGCTGCAGGTTCAGCTGCGGCATCAGCTGCAGGACCGGCAGCAGCAGAGCTTCCAGTAGAAGAGACTGCTGAAGAAGCTGGCGATGCAGCTCGTCCCAAAAAGCGTCGCAGGCGTGCCTGGGGCCAAGCTGGGCCACGAAACAATGGCAAGGGCGGTTCCACCACCCAGAAAACCCTGGAAGAGATCAGGCGTTTGCAGTCTGGAAAGAGCGCCGAGCTCTTGATTCCCAAATTGGCGTTCGGCAGGTTGTGCAAGGATGTGCTGGCCGAGCTCCTCGTAGAGCGCAACCGCTTTGAGCTTGAGCAGATGCAGCAAGAACGTGGCCTGCTGACAGGTCACGAGCTCTTTGAGCGGGACGACCCGCAATGTGTGCGTTTCAGTTCCGATGCCCTACATGCACTCCAGGTTGTTTGTGAGTGGTGGCTGGTGGACACTTTTAGCTATGCCAACCGCTGTGCACACCACGGCAAGCGAGTCACCGTGATGCTGCCTGACTGGCAGTTGGTACAGGAGTTGCGCCGCTGATCGAAGCCGCTGGTGTCAGCTGAAAATTGTTCAAGTGCCAGGTTTCGGGTCTCTGAACTCGCGCCCTTGACCATTTTTAAATATGTCTGCGCCCCTTAACCCCAACACGGTACCCCAAACCCAAAAGAGGGTTCCCTTTACTCCTTGAGCCCAAAAACGCTCAACTTTAGGGCTTCGGGTTTAGGGTCTAGGGTAGGGCCCTAAACCCTGAACCCTAAACCCTAAACCCCAGACCCTAAACCCTAAACCCTCAAGCCTAATGTTTTACGACAAGGCCCCGGGGTGGGGTGGTTCCCTAACTTCCGGTGGGGGGTCGGGATCCCTGTGACCCCAATCCCGAAACCCCAAACCCTAAACCCATGACCCTTTTCCATGCTCAGGGTCTGATTCCATCGCCTGCGCCCTTACCCTCCAAGCACCCAAAAGCCCTGAACCCTGAACTGTTAAACCCGACGGACCATTGGAGAAGCATCCTCGTAAACCCTAAACCCTTCCGGGATCGTGGGTTTAGGGTTTAGGGGTTAGAGGAGATCAGGAGTCTGTAGCGTTGAGGACCAAACCCCGAAACCCAAACCTAAACCCTAAACCCCAAACCCAGAACCCCAACACTCTGCCCCAAACCCAAAAGAGGGTCCCTTTAAACTATCCAGGACCTGAACGCTGAAACCCCTACAGCCCTGCACCACCGTGCACAGGCCCTCTCATGCGTGTAGGGTTTAGGGTGTACTTAGGCTGAAGGTTCTTACAACCCCTCATCATCAAATCCGCCTGTGTTCAGGGGTTTAGGGTGTAGGGTGTACTTCGTATAGGCTTCAGGGTTGACGGTTTTTACAACGTTCGAACCCCTCCCCCGTATTCGCGCGAAATAGCTGCTAATTCGCAAATCTCTTATTGAACCCGGCCTGTGTTCAGGGGTTTAGGGTTTAGGGTCAGGGAGTTTCTGAAGGAAGTTTCGTGTTGCGACACTGCTTCGTCATTTGGCAAACCTCCGTTTTGGGTCAGCCGGGGTGTCGTGTTCTGAGAAATGCTTCCTGCTTGTTTCTGCGGAACTCAAGGGGTACGGCCATGTTCATTTTGGTTGTCATTGAATTCAAGCAATTGTAGGGTGCGACATGTGTACGTGCAGTCCAATGAAGTCTCAGGGTTTGCGAACTGCAGGTAATTTTAGTTGTAGGCCGGAGTTTCGCAGCTCGTGTTTCCATTTCGATGGGCGAAGTGGCAGACGAGCAGTCGGACGAGAGAGCTAGCTTGGTGGCCACGTACCAGAAGTGGTCAGGCCAGGTGCCATGGTTGGTGCTCACCGACAAGGGTCTGGGGTGCAAAGTGTGTTTAGAGTACAAGACAAGCAGAAAGAAGCGTGGTTTGGCTGCTGGGGAATATGTGCCCAAGAAGTACTTGTACCAGCGAACTTGGCAGCAGCATGTCCAAGATAACGGACTGCATGCTGAAGCCGTGGCTGCGACAACTTCTTGTTCTGCAGACAGCAAGCCAGCAGAGCAAGGGAGCCCCAGAAAGATCCGCAGGTCCGGCAGTTCAGGTTCCGTGGAGTCGCCTGGGACAGGTTCGCTGCAGTCGCCTGGCAGAGATTCGCTGGGGTCGCCTGGCAAAGATTCGCTGGGGTCGCCTGGCGCAGAAAGCGCGGGCAGAAAGCGGCCTCGCGCACGGGCATCGCCGAGTGAAATGTTTTTCAACAGCATGGTGGCTGCGTACTCTGTCATGGTGTCTGGCTGGTCGAGCACAGTGTATTCTGCAATGATGCTGTTCGGGCGTTTGATCTCTGCGGCAGTTCCTGATGGCCACAGCTCCAGCACAATACTCTCCGAGATGCAGGACATCATCTACAAAGAGGCACGGCGTGACCTGGAGACTGAGATCCAACAGTCGCCAGGCTACAGCTTGACAGTGGACGAGAAGGACGGCGCGCTCGCCATCGTGGTGACATACTTGCGTGACGGCCACGTTGTGTCCCGTGCTTGTGGTTACAGAACGCTGCATGGTTTGGAGTCCGAAGACCTGGCCGCGACCGTGAAATTCTTCGTGGGTGCTTGGGGGCTGGATCCTGCAAAACTGTGTTGCGTGGCTGCCGACGGTGCTTCAGTCAATGGTAGCACCAGGCGGCAGACCGACATCACAGGCAAAAACCTGGCTGCTGCCTTGAGGCGATGGCACCAGCACCCGATGCTTTGCACGCACTGTGCAGCTCATCGGCTGCAGCTCGTTGTTTGCGATGGGTGGAACCACACCTACCTCACGGAAATGGAGAAGTGCATCTCGTCCTTGTTCAAGCATCTCCGAAACCATCCAGCAACGGCAATAGATTTGCACTTTTGGGCAGAGGTGACAGCTGAACCAGCGCTCAGCGGCCTCAGCATGTCGTCGGCTCGTTGGCTCAGTCTTTTGAAGCCACTCAAGAGGCTGTTCCAGTCCCACACCTGCACCTTGGCCCATCTCCACTACCATTTTATGCACGAGAGAGATCGCGAGGCTAAGAAAACCTTGCGGTGGCTTTTCCTGACAATGGCTACATGGCGTTTCAAGTTGACTATGGCTGGCTTGATTGACATCCTTGAACACTGCTGGGAGACAAAGCTTCGCTTGGAAAGCGACCGTCTCTCGCTTGACGAAGTGTCGCATTGCATCGCCGTGCTGAAATGCAAGCTAGAAAGCTATGTCATGAAGGAAAGCGTGGCAGCACATGCCATTGCTGGCGGAGAGGCATCTTGCACGGGTACAAGCTGCTTGGAGAAGACCTGCGCCGAGTACCGCGACAAGCAAGGACAACAGCTCAAAATTATTTTGTATTTAAAGTTCCGAGGGTAGTAAAGTTGTGTTGTGCCCCCTTTTCCTCTACGAAGGTTGACTTGCATAATCTTATTACAACAAGTGAGGACAGCAGCTGCATTTGCGCTATGTTCTCACAGATGGGACCGTCCGAGAGTACTGGGCCAAGCTCGAAGAGATAGGCTCTGCAAGAGATCACAAAGAGGTTTTCAGAATCTTGCAAAATTTTGCGGAGCAGTGCATGCAGAAGCTGGCAACACGATTTGGCCCTGTGCCCTTTCTCATGAGCTACCAAATCTTCAGCCCAAGTTGGAAGTACTCGCATACGCAGCTGGCAGAAGCATCGTGCGCTTTGTCTGAATTTTGGCAGCTGGATGGCAAGGTTCTCATGGACGATTTTCGGACATGCTTTGCGATTCGCGACGCGCTCTTTGGAGAGGATGATGACTTGAAGAAGTCTCGAGCGCACGAGCTGTGGCGGCGGGTGCTTTGCCGATTGGCTCCTGGCCAGAACGTTTTCGGCAGGCAGGTGATCGTTTCTTTTTTGCTGATTCAGGCACAGAGTGCTAGTTGCGAGAGAGCTTTTTCATCAGTGGAAGAGCTCCGGAAGCATCTTGGACCAGATGCCACACCCGACTTGCTGGAGCAGTATCTGGTCATGGGCAGCGCGCAGAGTGTTCAGGAAGCTGCGAGCTCTGGTTTTTTGGATCGGTGTTTGCAGGTTTTCATGGGGGCCAAGGAGCGTCGGGACAGCTCATGCAAGTTTTACAGGAAGGGTGGCCAAATCCTGGTGCGACGGCGAGCTGTTCGGTGCGACAAAGGCCGAAAAAGGCCTCACTACACTCGAAAGAAGTCAAGGACTTGCCAGATCAGGCATGCCCCGAATTTTCGAAACCTGAAGCCAAGTTCTGAGAATGTGGCTTGCTTGGAGCCTGGACAGGGTCAGCCTTTGTCCAGCATCTATGAAGCCATGTCGCCCCGAAAGGGACACAAGGCAAGTCAGTCTGCTGGGAAGACTGAGTAGGTTTCTAAGTTCCAAGCAGATGAGACCTTTTGGGTGATGTAATATGATATCTGACTATATGATAATGTCTAGTGACAACTGATAAATATCTAGCCAAAATTAGTGAATGGCTTCTGCTTCGAACTGGCTCACAGCCTGAAAGACACCGAAGGAATAGTCCAGTGTCTGTGGCATCTGCCGGAATCTGTGCTGAGCCCCAAACACAAGCTGAGGGTTGGGGAGGGCTCGGGAGAGGCTGGGGACTTTTAGCTCCAGGGGTTCAGGGTTTCAGGTTTGAATTGGCAGCCCAAGCCAGCACCTCCCTCAGCCCAAACCAAAAGCCAACCACCAACCCGAAAACCATACTGAACTCGACTCCCGCCCAAATTTAGTTAGGGGTTTTTGAGAAACCAACCCTTCAGCTGATCAGACGCTACCAACCAAGAACACCCCTGAGCTCCACTGCCGCTCTCCCTGCTGGCAGGTGGTCCGGATGGCCACTCAATGGCCACGGGGAGCTGTGCAACAGCGAATTGGGTAGGTGGAGGGCGGGAGGGTGAACCGAACGAATTAGCAGCTAATTCGCTCGGTTTGATTTTTTGCTGGTGCTAGGAGGTTGAACTGCGAACCGAAGAATTAGCAGCTAATTCGTTTGGTTTTGACCTAACTCGTTGCGACGAGCCTGAACTGAACTGCGAACCGAACGAATTTCAACGAAATGGCCATGGGGAGCTGTGCAACAGCGAATTGGGTAGGTGGAGGGCGGGAGGGTGAACCGAACGAATTAGCAGCTAATTCGCTCGGTTTGATTTTTTGCTGGTGCTAGGAGGCTGAATTGCGAACCGAAGAATTAGCAGCTAATTCGTTTGGTTTTGACCTAACTCGTTGCGACGAGCCTGAACTGAACTGCGAACCGAACGAATTTCGACGAATTAGCAGCGAATTCGCTGGGCGATCGAGGCTCAACCGTGGGGTGACCGAACAAATTAGCAGCTATTTCGTTTGGTTTGATTTTTGCTGGGAAAAGGTGTGGGGCGAAGTGACCTATTAAGAATAGCAGACAAATTAGCAGCTAAGTTCACTTGGTTGAGGTTAGGGGGCCCCCCCCCCACCCATCCCGCCCCTCCTGGCCAGGGCCCATTGCTTGGGGGCTGCCCCCCCACCCACCCCGCCCTCCTGGCCGGGAACCCAGGGTTGGTCCCGAGTAGTTTTTAATCCTTCCCCCGAATACTAAAACCCCATCGGGGTGCAAAACCCTAAAACCTGAAATCCGAAGCCTAAAAACCGAGAGTACAGGGTTTTGGGTTTGGGGTTTAAACTTTAGGGCTCAGTTAGGGTTTAGCCTCAAACCCTAATTAACCTGTCTGAGCTTGAGCCCTAAACCCTGAAAATCCTATCCCGAACCCTAATGGCTGGCTCAACTCAAGGGCGGGGAACCCAGGGGTGAAGGCAACGAACCAGAATGAATCGGCAGCTAATTCGCTTGGGTGGCTCATTCGCTTGGGGGGTGGGTTTCCTGCCTTTTGTTCTTTAGGCTTTAGGTGTGCGACGGAACCAAATTAGCGAGATTTAGCTGCGACGTAAAAAGCGGAATAAAGGTATCGGGTTTAGATTTAGCGACGACGGAAAATCCAAAACAATTAGTGTGAATTATTATAAATTGTGCAGCAATGTGCTGAACCAAAACCCTAAACCCTAAACTTGAACCCTGAACCAAAACAACCTAAGACTAAACCCTAAACCTTGAGCCCCAAACCCCAAACCCCAAACCCCAAACCCTAAACCCTAAACCCTAGACCCTAGACCCTAACCTAAACCCTTAACCCTTAACCCTTAACCCTAAACCCTAAACCCTAACCCTTCTAGGGGATTGTTCAGGCGAGTGGCTGTTCAGGCGGGGTGGGTGGCTTTGCCGTTTCCTTTTTTGGTCTATTGCCGTCAGATGCGCCTTACGAAAGCCCAGCGTAAAGTGTCCTACACCTGCTACATCCCCGAATCCTAAACCCTAAATCCTAAACCCTAAACCCTAAACCCTAAATCCTAAATCCTAAACCCTAAACCCTAAACCCTAAACCCCATCCTAAGCCCCTTCGACATGCCAGCAACATCGCTGTGAGGCGCCGGGCTTCCACCGTTCTTCCTTGCTGCTCCACCTTCGACGCCCGACGGAGGCTTTCAGGTGCTTGTTGCGCGCTCGCTCCTGGAAATTCTCTAGAATCCGGATTCGTAATGAGGGTTTAGGGTTTAGGGTTTAGGGTTTAGGGTTTACGGTTTTAGGGTTTAGGGTTTAGGGTTTAGGGTTTAGGGAATGGGAGCTAGTCTGTGGGCTTTTGGGCTAACAGTCTTTACCTTGGGCTTTGGGTTCTTCAGCCGGGGCGTGCACCCCAAAGTCCAGGCTCCCTAAATCCTAAACCCTAAACCCTAAACCCTAAACCCTAAACCCTAAACCCTAAACCCTAAACCCTAAACCCTAAACCCTAAACCCTACCGGGCTGGAGCCCTCAGGAAAGGAAGCTGGAGCCATCTTCCACATGGACTTTCTGAATGCCTCTGGGACAGCAAACGCAAAGCTAACCCTATAAACTCTAAACCCTTTAAACCCTATGAACCCTATAAACCCTATAAACCCTATAAACTCTAAACCCTATAAACCCTCTAAACCCTAGAAACCCTATAACCACTAAACCCCAAGCCATAAGCCCGAAGCCTGAAGCCCGAAGCCTTTGAGTCCTTGGATCATATGCTAGGGGCTTCCAGTCTGGGTTCTAGGTTTGGTTTCCCGGGACAAGTCACCGGAAAGACTGCCTAAATCCCAGAACCCTCAACCGTATAAACCCTAAACCCTTCAGACTTTCTACCCTAAACCCTAAACCCTAAACCCTAAACCCTAAACCCTAAACCCTAAACCCTTCAGACTTTCACCCCTAAACCCTAAACCCTGAGCTGGTAGATGTCGGTGGCGGCGGCCACCCAAGCACCCCAAACCCCAAACCCTGACAAACTTACTTCGCCATGTGTAAGCAAAGGTTGGTCTGGTTGTGGGTTCGCGGATGCTGACCACCGATCTGGACTTCAAGAGCTTGGAAGAGTGGCTCGACTGAATCAGATTGGCCATGCTTTTCGTGGTTTCAGGGTCTAGGATTTAGGGTTTAGGGATAAGGTTGGTTTAGGGGTTTAGGTGTACAGGTCTTCTGGCTTTAAATGCATAGCTGAGACATACTTTCTGGCCTGGGAACCTCAACCCTATAGGGTTTAACTAGGGCTTTTGAGCACCAAACCTCACGCCCCAAACGGTTTAGGGTTTAGGTTTTTGCGTTTTGGGTTTTGGGTTTAGGGTTTAGGGTTTGAGTCTTTTGGGGTTTGAGCCACTTTGGGCAGTTGAGGGGGTTCGAGGGTAGCGTGGCAGCGTCCTCACACCTTTGTAAGTTTCGGGTTTCTCAGTCATTCATTTTGAGAAAACACAAAACCTTGAATTCCCTCAACACTGACCCTGAGGTTCCCTGAACAGTGATTAGGGTTTAGGGTTTAGGGTATAGGGTTCTTGTACCTAAATACGAAATAGGGTGTACATGGATTCTCTCTGAACCCTAAACCCTTGCGCTAGTAGTGCGTCCTATTCCAGTCCCCGGAATCCAAGTCTGACAGTACCCCAAGAGTCCATGTTGCATAGTTTTTTATATGCTTCGGCCCAAAGTCCTTGCATAGGAAGTACCTTAGGGCCCAAGTATTCCCTATTTAGGTGCATGGACCCCTAGGGTTCTAGTTCCTTGCCGTACAAACAGAGGGTTTTATAGGGTTATGCGTTTTAATCTCTGGGTCTGGAAGCCTCAAACGGATCTTGAAAATGGAGAGCTTGGTGCTTGCCCCTGGCGTTAGAGGGAGCTTCGTTTTGGGTTTATGTAGTTTTTTCGGGCTTGGGTGTTGATTACAGTTCACGTCGCCTAAAGTTTTGATTGTACTGTGCTTAGGTCCCTTGACAGACCTCTTTGAATAGCAAAGTGTTCCTACTCCGGGATCTTAAGCCCAGAAACTTATGGAAGATCCATAAAACTGGTGAGTAGCGTACGTACGTACGTACGTACGTGGGTGTGGGTGTGGGTGTGGGTGTGGGTGTGGGTGTGGGTGTGGGTGTGGGTGTGGGTGTGGGTGTGGGTGTGGGTGTGGGTGTGGGTGTGGGTGTGTGTGTGTGTGTGTGTGCGGGTGTGTGTGTGTGTGTGTGTGTGTGTCTGTCTGTCTGTCTGTCTGTCTGTCTGTCTGTCTGTCTGTCTGTCTGTCTGTCTGTCTGTCTGTCTGTCTCTTTGTGTGTGTGTGTGTGTGTGTCTCTGTGTGTGTGTGTGTGTGTGTGTGTCTGTGTGTGTGTGTGTGTGTCTGTTTGTCTGTTTGTCTGTGTGTCTGTGTGTGTGTGTGCCGGCAAGCTGCTGTAAGCCTTGCCTGCGTACACCTTTTCGGCGTATACATCAGGAGCATAAAAGTTACCTAAAGTCAGCTATATATTTCTGTACACAGTTTATTTTGTATTCTCGCATGTACACTTATACACCTAGTTCTGCTCGAACTGCAGGGCATATGATCACAAATCGAGCAAAAAACTTTGTGGTGCTTTACTGTAACTTTACATCTTTAGCCTTTTTGGGTTTATTGGGTTTCTTAAGAAGGCAGCTAAAATTTAATTTTATAGCTACCCTGCTAAGAGCAGCCAAGAAAACGTGGCCTTCACGTGGCAACTTGGAGATGGAAGCGATGTTGATGGGTCTGGGCACCCAACCTGAAGCGGGGCCCCCTAAACCCTAAACCCTAAACCCTAAACCCTAAACCCTAAACCCTAAACCCTAAACCCTAAACTGGCTACGAAGGCTGGGCATTGGCGACGGAGATACTGTATCCGTGGTCTTCATGCAGGCTGAGGACCGTACGGAGCGATATACGGGTTTAGGGTTTAGGGTTTAGGGTTTAGGGATATACGCCAGTTCCTTCAAAATCCCGTAAGTCTATGAGCCCGAAGCCGCAACCCACCAGCTGCACAATCCCTAAACTCTAAAGGGTTTAGGGTTTAGAGTTTGGGGTTTAGCTTCCCCCCCCCCCCCCCCCCCCAAAAAAAAAAAATAAAAAAAGAACAAACAACAAATGTGTGTGTGTGTATGTGTGTGTGTGTGTGTTTGCTCCGCTGTCTTTTTTCCATAGAGCCGTGGCAGGTCGAGATTTGAGCTGCAGCTGCCTTCCCAGCAGTCTTCTACGATTCCCCCACACACTGCAGCTTCAGGGTGTAGGGTTTAGGGGTTTTAGGGCTTCAGGGTTTTGGAATCAACTCTTTACAGGTGTTCAACAGGGTGCCCAATTCCCTCATTCCCGCTACTCAGAACCAGGCGTCTGCGGCAGGCGCGGGCCCCTTCAGCAAGAAAGCAACAACGACAGTAACCTCTGACTAGGGTTTAGGGTTTAGGGTTTAGGGTTTAGGGTCAGGGTCTAGTGTTTAAGGGTCAGGGTTTAGGTTGTAGCCGCGGTGGCTCCTTGCAAGTAAACCCGACCCAAAGTGCCAAAGACACCTGGAACCTACACTGCTCTCGGTCTCATCACCTTTTCCCCCACAGCCTGCACCCTGTTCCAGCTACCTACTCTTGGACTCTCCGGAGTCCCTTTGCAGCCATCTACTCCCTAAACCCGAAACCCTAAACCCTAAACCCGAAGCCCCTAAGCCCCTAAGCCCCGAAGCCCCGAAGCCCCTAAGCCCCTAAGCCCCAACCCCCTACATCCCGCATTCCCTCTAGACCCTCATTGTGCTGAAGATGGGTATGTCAGCCATGCCTTGAGCCATGAGCTGCCCCTATTGCTTGGCGTTCACTCCTCCGGCGACTCCAGCACAGGCGGCACCTTCGGGATACTTGGGGAATAGTTTTTTTACTTTTGGGGTACCAGAACTCCTGAGACACAGCTAGTTGTTACCCTAAACCCTAAACCCTAAACCCTAAACCCTAAACCCTAAACCCTAAACCCTAAACCCTAAACCCTAGGGTTCCCAAGATCAGCACAGGCACAGGGAGGCACCGGCGCCCCCAAAGCTCTTCAGCAGCGGCGGGCGGAGCAAAATCGGACACTCGTGAAGGCTTACTGGGAGTTCGAGGAGGGCAAGAGCCATTGGCTTGGGTTCCTAGGTTTGTCAGGCTTAGGGTTTAGGGTTTAGGGTGTAGGGTTTAGGGTTTAGGGTTTATGGGTTTTTCGCGACTTTTTTTGTACATTTTCCCTTGCTTGGGTTTTAGGAAGATCATACTCAGGAATTGTTTTTTTTCTGAGGGTTTTAAGGGCCCTCCCCAGGTTCTCTCCGAAAGTGAGCGTCCTCCTTGAGGCGGCCTACCAGAACTGGCTCCAAAACCCCAGCGAGGTTCGGTCCAAGATCAACGCCACGGGCTTCTTGTACAACGTGGACTCTAAATCAGTCTTAGGGATCCTTTTTTACTTTTTGGGTTCTGGGCTTTCTTATATATATATATAAACAAAAAGGATCCCTTTTTTCTTTTTGGGTTATGGGCTTTCTTATATATATATATATAAACAAAAAGGATCCTTTTTTTCTTCCCAGGGGAACAGGAAATTAAGGACTACACCACCTTGCTGCAGGAAGGCCAGCGCCAAAGCCAGCGCATCCGCCGTGTAGGGGTGACTGCAGATGAGTCGCTAGGATGCCCAGTAGTGCCCTTATTCCCTTTTTGGGGGGGTTTAGGGTTTAGGGTTTAGGGTTTAGGGTTTAGGGTTTAGGAACCCCTTCAAGCCAAAAAAGGGCACCCTTTTTAAGCCTAGGTTACTGGGCAGCCTAGGTCCCTCCATGCGAACGGCAACGGCGCCAACGGCTCTGCCAAGGGCTTCTGCACTGTAGATCCTGGCCTCTGGCGCGAGATGCAGCGGCAGCTGAAAGAGCTCAAGGACTACCACACCCTAAACCCTAAACCCTAAACCCTAAACCCTGAACCCTGAACCCTGAACCCTGAATAGTAGAGGAGGAACAGGACTGGCTTCTCCAGCTGCTGCGTGGGCAGAGCGCCAGCACGGAGCACGCTGACACCCTGGAGCTCAAAGCCAAGGGCTCCTACACAGGGTATTTAAGGGTTTAGGGTTTAGGGTTTAGGGCTTTGGAGTAGTAGGGTTTTGGGGTTTAGGGTATTAGGGTCTACCCCAGAGGTTCCTACAGCCCACTGGCGGAGGAGGTGGCCAAACTCTGGCGGCGCGTGGGCGACGCGGAGGCGAAGTTGCAAAGTGCTGCGGAGGCAGCCAAGGAGTCGGAGGCGCTTCTGGAGCGCCTATACGCCTCCCTTCTGCCAGGTCGCGTTCTTGCGCGCTCGGGTGCGGTGGGTGTGGCGCGTGCCGTGGAGAATGAGGAGGTCCTGGTGTTTTCCGGTGGCGACGAGGCAGTGCCGGAGTTTGTGAGGAGCAGGGACGTACAGGCATCCCGCATGGGATTGCTGGCGCGGCCCGGCGCCAAGGTTTGGTATCCAGATGGAGGAGTTGCGAAGGCAGGCGTCGTCTGCGGGCCTTCCCTGGATCCAAAGTTGGACGCGCGAGGGCCGAATGGTGATGCCGCTGTGAGTGCTCAGTTGCACGCCTTGCACGCTGTTGACGTCCTACGGGCGGATGGGCAATGCTACCCAGTCCCCTGGAGATATTTTTGGGAATAATTTTCAATTTTTGGGTACCACAATTCCTACCAAACAGCTAAAATTCTGATGTTGTTGCTAGGGTTCCAAGATCAGCCTAGGTCCCCCTGGCCACGTTGAAGCACCGTGCGTGCGGAGAGCCTCAGGGATTAAGCGTCGGTGATCTGGTGCGTGCCCAGCTGGAAGGAACAGACCCTCCTCTGAAATCTCTAGGCACCGTGCTGCGGGTGGAGGATTCTTCTGGAATGGCAAGTGACATGCACGTGCGATTCCCAGACGAAGCTGGTGGATTCCAGGACGTTCCTTTCGCTGCCAGCAAGCGCTCCGACTTGGAGCTGGACAAGGAGTCTGATTGTGTGCGTCCGGGGGCTGCTGTTCGGCTGCTTAGTAGCAGTGAGCACACTTTACACTTCTTGGGATACCATCATCCCCTATAGAACTGAAAGTGTACACTTTTTGGGGGACTATCTGAACTCAGCAACTAAGGCTGAGGGTTGCCTCCAACGGCCTGCAAAGTGCCACAGGGGTCGTCTTTGCCTTGCATGGCAACGCAACGGCCGTGGTGGACTTTCTGGGGAGTTGGGGCCATCGCTGCGCGGCTTCTGATCTGGAAGTCGTGGAGGACCCGCCAAGGATAGAAGTCGAGATCATCAAGACTCTAAGTGACTTAGTAGTAGAGTAGGTAACCTTTAACTTGTTTGGGTATTTGATTTCCCTTAATAGTCCCACAGTTTAACCTTCAGTTCCCCAGGGATACTGGACAGCTAAGGTGAGTGTTTGACCTGGACGGAGCTGTTGGCAGGCGAGAATGGCCATCAGTATGCCAGGAGTTGAAGATTCTAAGGGTCCTCTGCACCTCAATATTACATACCTTTGGCCCCGAAGCTCCCCCTAAACCCTAAACCCTAAACCCGTACATGGGCCCTTAGGGAGATGGCATGTGCATCCCGGGCCACACTCGGCCTTGCTAAAACCGCAAGAGCGACCATCTCTTGGCTTTCTTCTGGCTGGCTCTTAGGACTTTTGCCTTCTGGTTTTTTCGGGTTTAGGGTTTAGGGCTACAATAAGGAGCCTAAAAGGTTAAACTTTTAGGAGGGGTTCAGAAGTCAGCCAAGATCTGGGCTTAGAGCAGTCCCGGGTCTTCTGAAGTTGGCCCACAGACATCTCGACGGGCGTCGCGCAATCCATGAAGTATGAAAACATGTCTGGTTTAGGGTGTAGGGTTTAGGGTTTAGGGTTTCGAGTTTGGGGTTTAGGGTTTAGGGTTTAGGGTTTAGGGTTTAGGGTTTAGGGTTTCGAGTTTGGGGTTTAGGGTTTAGGGTTTAGGGTTTAGGGTTTAGGGTTTAGGGTTTAGGGTTTAGGGCTCCACTTCAGGCGCAGTGCTCACAGGAGGTTGCAGGGCCCAGCTGGCACAGGTCGAACCATCCTCAAGCCATAAGACACGTGTGGGGTTTTGGGTTCCCTAAACCCTAGCCCTAAACCCTAAACCCTAAACCCTAAACCCTAAACCCTAAACCCTAAACCCTAAACCCTAAACCCTAAACCCCCAACCCATTCTGTGAGGAGCCCTCTTGGCGCGACAGCCTTGCAGGAAACTCGGAAGGCGATGCCTTCGCTTTTTTCCGGCGGAACCGACGCGCTGGCTCGTTTTGAAAGCTTCGGGGTTTGGGGGTTAGGGGTTTAGGGTTTAGGGATAGGGTTTAATTAGGGTACTTGGGCCGGAAGTACTTGAAGACCCAAGTATTCCCCATTTAGGTGCATGTACCCTTAGGGGCTTTGGGCCAAAGCTGTCAATCCGATGAGCTCAGCGGCCCAAGGCAACGTCTACCGTGCGAGAGACTGCCAGCATCTTTCGCAGCTGCGACTGGCGCTGGGTAACCGGAACAACTTTGGAGCAGCGCGGCATGCAACAATTTCTAGGGCACGGCGAAACCCTGAACCCTCAAGCCCTATAAACCCTACAAGGATGCAGAGTGTGTGCTCAAGGCCCTTAAGATACGTTCCGTTTTAAGGGGCCTCTGTTCCCTGCTGAAGTACGTCTTAGGGTCTTACGGCATTGGGGCGGCTCGCTCTCTCTCTCTCTCTCTTTCTCTTCTGTGTGTGTGTGTGTGTCTTTTGTTTGGGCTTTGCTTGTGCTGTTTGTGTTGTTTGTTCAGTTGGTGTTGTTTGTCTTGTCTGTTTTGTTCATTTTGTTTGTGTTGTTTGTGTGTGTGTGCGTAAGTGAGTGAGTGAAATCGAGCACTGTGAGCATCAGGGCTGTTTACGGCTTACAGGGCTTTTGGGGTCATCTCGTTTTCAAGCGAATAGGGTTCCTACTTAGGGTTTTGTGGGGTTCATTAGGGCTTGTTGGGCTTATAGGGGAGGGCCTCTATAGGGTTAAGAGTGTTGAGGCGTTCTGGATGTACATGTGACATGGCCGACAGTCAGTACGAAACCCTGACGGCAACACACCCTCAACTCCTGAAATCTGAGCCACGAGTACCCATATGAAGTAGGGTATGTATTTCTTGTACTGCGGACCGGAGGTCGTGAATCATATCAAGGTATGTATTTCTTGTACCCCCACAAGGACACCCGGTATAGACACTCACCAAGATTAAAAATGAACCTTATATACACTCACCAAAAACAAAAATATAAACCCTGCTTCATATGACCTTCTGCCAGTGAGTCTACTCGACGACGAGCTAAGGGTGCGTTTCATCCAGCCATACCTACGCTTTGGGACGTTCCCCCTTATACTAACAGTCAGTCCTTCACAGGGATTATAGTACCGCCTATGCAAGCACTTTTGTCTCCTGCTCGTACCGTCTGTCCGTCGAGGATGCCTCTAAGCAAATCCCCAAGATGTATGCGCATCAGTGAGTGAAGACGACATGTACGTGCGTTTGGGATCATGTTTTCAACACATTGTACTCAGCTCCGCATAAAGATGGTTCGCGGCGCTCCACGGGTGAGGCGTGCGCTCCACTCGGACAGGCGTGAGCTCTAACATCAACCACGTCCAGCGGTACATTGGTAGCCCAGTAGCCGTATTGCAATCAGGGTACCCTTTTTGCCGTTAGTTCCTTTACAAGGGAACCATGAAGCAAAATATTGGCAAAAGCGGTGCATAAACAATTTTGCCGAAGATGTTTCATTGTCTCTGTACCTCTGCTACGAACCATTTGTGCTCAAAACTGAAGCCGAAATACTACACCCTAGGCCCCAAACTCTCTACAAGGAGAAGGCTTAACCCTAAACCCTAAATACGAAGCCTGTACTGAATGAAGCCTTTGTCCTAAGGACCGAACCCGAGAACCTGAACCCCTCGAAAAGAATCTTCACCATAAACCCTCAACCATAGACTCACACTAAACCCTCGACCCCAAAAACTCGAAAAGCCCAAGCCCTACTGTCAACCCTACACCCTCTAAAACTCCTAAACCCTAAACCCTGTAAACGCTTTGCCGAGGAGTCGTACACAAAGGGCTGGACATGTGACGGCTGCGAGAAGTTCTTCCCACCTGGCAGCTTTGTTTGCACCCTCAGGGCAGGGCTTGGGGCTTCGGGCTTAGAGGTGTTAGCGGGCTTAATTAGAGGGGCTTAGGCTTTTTAGGGCTTAGGGTTAGGGTTTCAGGTTTACCGGGATTTTTTCTGGTTCCTTTCTGGAAAGTCGGCGTATTTGGGGTAGAGCGGTGCAACCGGAGACATGGCCCTTTGCTCGGAAGACCTCCTTGCAGAGTGTGCTTCTTGAAGCCATTCACGCTGACACGTGCAACTGTTGCCATTTGTGCTGCACCGCTTTTGCCAGTTTCGCGCATCCAGTCCACTCGCGTCAGGGCAACCATGGCAGAGCCCTTAGAAGAAGGCATGCGCTAGCCGCACTTGACGCTGGTTTTCTCTTCTAACCTTCACAGCTTCGGTTTTCTGTGCCATCAAATCAAACCCGTAAGCCCTAACCACCCTAAACCCTAAACCGTAAAACCCGTCTTTCCGCGAGTTTTTCACAGGCACGTGGCTTCGTCGCTGCGACATCTGCCGGATTGACTTCTGTGAGCGCTGTGCAGCTAGCGCTGATGGCCCCCCCTAGAATGCCGTCCTAGAAACTTTCTTGGGACACACAGGCCTGGCTCACTTGCCACATCCCCCCCTATTCCGGGTCCTTGTTGGTTCTAACTGTACATTCTTGTCCTTTTAAACTCCCAATAAGGAATAAAAATGACAATTTTTGTATATTATATACATATATATATATTATATATTATATATTATATATTATATATTATATATTATATATTATATATTATATATTATATATTATGTATTATATTATATGTATATATATATATATAGATAACAAGGAAGCAGTAGTAACATGCAGCCAGTAAGCTAGTCCATGGAAAACTGGTCCAGGGCAAAGCCCTGAGCTTCACCACTTCGACCGTGAAACGAGGGAAATGCACAAGGGAAGCTGGTTCAGGGTTTAGTAGGGTTTAGGGTTTAGGGTTTAGGGTTTAGGTTTTAGGGTTTAGTGTTTAGTGTTTAGGGCAACAATTAGCTGTTTCTCAGGAGTTCTGGTACCCCAAAACCCTAAACCCTAAACCCTAAACCCTAAACCCTAAACCCTCTAAGGACAAGTGATGGGCTGCTGGGGTGTATGGTTCAGGGTGCACATCAGTGGAAGCACGCGGGGCGTGCACCTTCTTATTCGGGGCGATGACCGGATCGCTAAGTAGTCCCCCGCCGCCTCCGAACTATTCATTTACTGGGTTGTGCTTTGGGATAATTCTTAATTTCCCTTGTTTCTGTATAAGGGAACCTATTCACAAATGAATTTCAAAGGGTTTAAAGCACAACTCAGTGTAGGGTTTATAGTACAGCGCCCATGTATGCGTTCGGGGTTCGCCCTCGCGGGTGTAGTGTTTTGGGGTGTTTGGGGCTTGGGACTTCGTCAAACCATGTCAAACCCCATGGCTGGCTTTCATTTCCCTCCCACATACCTGAACCCCTTCCCTGTGTGTTGGCTCTGCGCACATGGTGAGTTGTCTGAATTATGGTCCCTTTGTGGGTACCCTAAAGAATAGGGGCCGCCGTGTAATAAGGACCCCAGAAGCGACAAAACTTTAGAGAAGCGACCACATGCTTTACCAGTTTTACAACAATTACCCAGAGGACCCTAATCTAGCGCAGAACCCCCTTAACTTAACCCTACATAACGCCTGAACCCTAAACCCTACACCCTAAACCCACAGCCCTCCACTCCCTACCCGATACCCAGACCCCGAAACGTTTACGCATTGCATCGTTTCTGCTTGTACAGTGCTTGGTGAGGCTCAGAGAAGCCTCCGCCCGGAAGGTTCCCTAAACCCTAAACCCTAAACCCTAAACCCTAAACCCTAAACCCTAAACCCTAAACCCTAAACCCTAAACCCTAAACCCTAAACCGGGTTTAGCGGTTGTAGGAAGTCTAGGACCCTACTGGAGGACCGGATTGAGGATTTGATTATTCCCTTCCCTATCTAAGTATACCAGAATAGCAACCCCCAACATCCTATTCCAATGAATACGGCCCCTGTGGTAATCGAGGCTCCCAGGAACCCTATCCGATTCTTTGATCCTCAACTCTACATAAGACCTCTAAAGCCATCACAAGCCCTTAGAATCTTAAAAGCAATCATCTCAGCCCTTCAATAACCCAAAGACTTCAAAAGCCTCAACCGCATTAGGACTTGCTTGCCCTAAAAGCCCTAAAATCCCTAAACCCTAAATTCCTAAAAGCCCCTGATGTCCCTACCTGAAGGTCCCTACACCCTAAAACCTCCTAAGCCCTAAACTCCCCAAAACTCCCTAAA